ACACAATGGCCTGGATTGAAAAATAAATTTAAAAAGATCAAGATCATCCAGTCCAGCCCTTAAAGTAACACTGACAAGTCCTCGATTAACCACGTCCCCAAGCACTGTGTCTGCACAACTCTCATTCCTCCACAACTCTCATTCTTCCACCCCTCCCCTGAGCGACCTGTTCCAACCTGACGGCCCCTGCGTAAGGAAATTCTTCCAATTTCACTAAAGGAATTGTTCCAAATACCTTCCAATGCCTTTCAGTAGATAAATTTTTCAATCTAAACCTCCCCTGAAAGGTTTAGGTCGGAAGGGACCCTTAAGATCTTGTTCCAACAGAGGAACCCAGCATTTACTCGGCCATTTAGGTCAAGTAAAATAACGCAACTGGGCCACATAACTTAAATTTTCTGGCTATAAATTGTAGCAGTTCGCCAGCTGTAGGCAGTAAAATGCAAGCAAAGGAGCCTCCCTCGGGGTCTGGTGTGTAAACTTGTGGGAATAACATTTCTCTTCAAAACATACAGCCCCAAACAAAAGGTAATGTAACTTCAGGATGAAGCAAAAAAGGAGGAGCACAACAGGTGAGAGTTATTTAGGTAATTTTATTTATATCCCCGCTCCCCAGTAGTGGGGTTCTGTAGATCTATTCCTTGTGTAAGGACTTGTCTTTCAGGTTTCCCACACCATGCAGGAAGGAATTGTGTTTGTTCCATAACAATAAAATCTGTCCACAAAAGCTGTAAACATTATTTTGAGTCCTTTGTTACTGTCTCCTTCAAACACACACACAATATTTGTATCAAGGAATTTCTAGGTGACCTTTAATGCCTAGTCCTTGACATAATCTTTTGACCTTTTAAAATTTTTTTTCCTTTTTACTTTTTTTAAGCAAAAATAGCTTGATGTGAATATGGTGGGGTTTTTTGGCGACTGGTATCTGACAGAATCATCACATTCCAGCCACTTGCTTAGAAAGTTTCGGAAACGTGCCCTGTTCTAATCCCGCAGGGATATCAAACCCTCGCAAGGTCCATTTCTTGGTCTGAGCCCTCCCTGCTTTTCCATCTCGAGCAGCACAGAACCTCTGCAGCGTCTCATCCAGCCGTGTCTCGACACTCGCGCTGCACTGAGAGCAGCCGACCCGTCTCGCAGCGCTGGGGTGAGGAGCCTGAATGTCGGGGTGTCCTTTTTTTTTCCCCCTCCCGCTCGTGTCCCTGCGTTCAGCCCGTAGCGGTGAGCGCGAGTCGAAAGCGATGCCGCAATCCCTTCCGACCCGCCAGCCCGTTTCAACAGTCTCGCTCAAATGCGCAGAATCTCCTCCGCCCGCGCGGCTCTGGGAGCGCCGAGGTGAGCGGGTCCTATTTTATCATTAAGACTCTTTCAAGTAATGCTTTCTTTCGGCTCACAAATAAATCAAGGACAGCAGTAAAACAAGAAAGGAAAATAAATCTTCTGATTGATTGCAGGCAGAACAGATTCCTTCAGCTCTTTGCTTTCTACGCTTGAGTTCAGTAATGGCACGTAGTTTGTGGGTTGGTTTTTTTCCTAGCAAGCTGTCTGTGCTCTCATTCCAAACCATGCACGTGACATCCAGCAGCTGTGAGGGTCCCAAACAACCGACCCAATGCAGTGCTTTCCAGGGCTGTCGGTCACTAGTAAATCCAGGCTATTTTCACGGAATTTCTCATTTTCCTTCAGAGATATTCTGAAGGATTTTGATGAGATTCTCCAGGCCAAAAATATAGCCGTGGTCTGGCCCGTCGTAAGTGGTGTGATTGCATTTGGAGCCTTTAAAAGTTGTGTGGGCGAAGTCTATCATGCGGACGTCAACTCTGGAGTGATGGCTGCCGTGTGGCGTGGCGCAGTTTGTTTTTTGGAAGTGAAGGTGGTTATCCAAGGGCGCCGTGTTCTCCTTGGGCTCTTGTCCATCGTAAATGATGAGGAGTGAGCTGGAGTAGAACCTGTAAGAGCTCTGCTTCCTAATTACAGACAGCAGAGCTTTTAACTGCAGGATGATGGGCTCCAGGAGATCTGTTCGGAGGTGGTTACCGTTGCACAGGAACTGGCACAAGGTTTGCTTGAATCCCTCAGGAGAGAGCTTCCTGCCGTAATATTTATCTTTGCAGAGAAAATGGCCAGTGTCTGGTTGGTAAACCTTGAGGGAAGAGAGCAACAATCCAGATTCAGTTGTTCAGTTTTGCCAAAACTCTAGATTTTTGTCCTAATGTAGGGAGTTCAGACCCAGGCTGAGGAATGGGACGCAGATCCTCTGCAGTCTAGCAATATCTAGCAACGCACTGCAGGCTTCTCGCTGAGTCCCACCTCCTGTCTTTTCTGCAGATTTAAACTGTTCAATTTAAACCACTAGTGCAGATTCTTGTTCTAGGGCTATAAATTACCTCTTTGAGAAACTCAAATAGCTGTAAGTCATAGCCATGTCACTAGTGATTTAGGGCATTTTCCCTCTGGCTATGGCAGGTGCTTGCAGCAGTACAGGAGTAGCCCAGCTTTGTGCCTTTTCGTGGTACGTATTGCATGGGTAGCAATAATCTTGTTTTCTTAAACACTGAGAGGCAAGATGTAGACAGAAATTTGTGTGTGACACTGGCAACACTGAGTAAGAAATGAAGGAGGGAATTCAGAATTAGCTCTCACGCCAGTTGTAATTTAAAGGATAATCTGCTCAACAGAAGGATGTCAGAGACCAGAAAAGGACACAGGGTTTGATGCCGAGTGTTTACGCTGCTATATACGTGCTTTATAATCATCATTCTCATAATTATCCTTCAGGCAGCAGCAGAATAACTGCTTGAGAAGTGTGAGTGAAACAAATGCGAGGTTTCGGTTTCTAGAAGGAAGGGCAGCAATTTTGGGCAAGAGAAACCATAATATTTAGCACAAAATAAACCCTTCGCTCTTGCGGCGACGGGAGGAGGCAGCTCCGTGAAGGCACGAGCAGGGCAACGGGGTGCTTTCCTGCTTTTGTTTTTGGTTTGTTTTGTGGGGTTTTTTTTGTGCAGCAGCCTAGAGCTGAGCATGAGAGGGGAGTCTGTGTTCGTGTACAGGCAGGTTCTCGGCTGCGGTAAACTGGTTCCAGCTGCTCGTACTGGTGACAATGGTGCGGAGTGGTGCTTGTGCAGCCCCGCTTGTGAGAGCAGCCAGATCTCCGGCGGTCAAAGCGGGGTGCGAGGGAAGGGTTACCCTGTGTGTGCCATATTCTGTGTTCTTCCCTAAGCATCCTCTCCTGTTTGAGGAGAAGGACACGCAGCTGAGCGATCAGTTCTTACAGCCTGTATCTGGGGGGAGACGAGACTAAAACTGTTTCGATTTACACCAAAAAAGAGCCCCTTCAGATTTCCAGTCGAGTCATGTGATGGGCAAATACCAAAAGGCCTGAGGCTTGATCTTACCTGCATCCCGCAGATGCGAACACCCAGAGAGGCAGAGGTGCTTTGCTCACACTTCTTGATCTGCCGGGCTTTCTTCTCCTCCGAGGCATCATCGCCGTGCTGCCGGGTTCCCATCTTTAGGTCCAGGATGCAGGGATAGTTGTATTTTGATACCACGTTTTCAAGCAACAGAAACTCTGAACATAAGTCAAGGGAAACCCAATACTTTTACATTCTAACTAGAAGAGGTCTTAAATCAGAGCAACTGCTGACACTCTCCATAATAGCTCACAACTGTAATGAGACTTTCGGAGCCAATTTTGCCAACATGTCATTGCTGTGGGCCCCTTGCTGCCAATTTCAGTTAATTTACGCTAGTCCAGTCTTACCAATTAAAGCACCAACAGCTCCATTCTCTAGTGACACGATAGCCCTGGGCTGTCAGTCCGACACCTTGCCTCGCTCCACTGGGTGCAGGGAAGTTGTTGAACTGTGTTACTCACATGAATGGTGGGTAATGAAGCATAATAGGAAAATAAAAGGCGAGGCAGCTGCTAATTCCTGTACAGTCGTGTTTTCAAATGTATGCCAAGAGGATCCTTGACTTACACTGAATACACTTGGTGAGAAGTGGGTTTGCTCTGTTCTTATTTTTTTAAATAAACAGAGGGAGAGGATAGCAGAGGAACTATATTCTGTATTTCCCTAAAGGCTAAGCAGAGAAAGGGTGCATAGCCCTGCAGTAAAACATACATTGATTATGAGCTCTTGTTTGTAGCCAAGACTATGCTGGAGGGGAGAGAGGAAAAAGGATACGATGAAGTTTGTTCTCATTATGCTTGGAGGACATGCGGTTCAGGTGCTGCCTGTGACAGTGCAGTCCCCAGGGGTTGTAGCTCTTTCTTTCTGGCTGGTTTCCATTCGCATCTTCCAAAAGTGAATCTGTGTGGTACTGAAGGTCTGGCCTCAATAGCATCTTCCCCGGGCAGCTAGACAAAACACACAAAAGAACACGTTTGGTTTATAAGCTCCAGAAGAGAATATTTCCTCCCCTCCTCTTTTGTAGAGCGGCAAACTTGGTAAGGTGAATTCTCAGGGACTCTCAAAGGAAACATATTCATCATGTCCAACCTGCAGAGATCCTTTGTTACTCCGTAAAAGTAATTTTCAGAAAGTCAGCTATTGCCAGGTGCCAATATTTTCTTTCATTACAATTTTAAAGTGTGCTTGGCTCCTGCGAAAAGCACCATTCATAACACCAACGACCAGGGATCTCTATTTATCTACCTAACGGGCATGCCATGGGCAAATTTTCCAACAATAGGAACGATTCCCAGTTTAGAGGGGTTGGCTTTGGGGAGGGGAGGGAGCGATGGGGAGATTTGTTCTCCTTGGAGGGTCATTCCTTGATCTCATAGAATCATAGAATGGCTGGAAGGGACCTTAGAGATCATCTAATCCAACCTCCCTGTCGTGGGCAGGGACACCTCTCACTCATCCAAAAACCATATCTCCCATCACACCAAGGGCAGTGGTTTCACCGTAGCAATATTGCACCCTTCAGTCATAGCTGGCTTTTCTGGACCAGTATGAGATGAAAAGTCTTTTCTGGACCAGTTTGAGATGAAAGATGTCTTGCAGAAAGCCTCTGTGAGCCCTAAGGTTGCTGTGTGCTTGCAAACACGGCAGCAGTGCCGTTCAGAGACAGCTCTCCCCTGGGATGAGGACAGGATTAAGCCACCTGGGGGCTGCTACTTCTGGCTGGCTACCAGCAGAAGTGTGATACATGCTGTCTGCTTGTTGGCTGGCCTCAGGGGGCCTCTCCTCCTTTTGGAGCGTGCGACGCTCCGAGGAAACAGGTTTAAAGCAGGATTTGAGGCATATATTTGAACAACAGCATCTCAGCTATAGCCAAACCTGGCCCGCTCCATCTACAAGCAGGGGAGGAGATGCACCATGAAGCCCCCGAGCTGGGCTTTGCTTTCCCTCGCCTTGGCTGGGCATTGCTTTTGCTCACTTTGCTTTAAACCAGGAGTCGTGCTACCAAAACCATCCCTGTTAGACCCTAACGGCAGGCGAGGACCAGGACGATGTTTGCGGGGGGCGGCAGACCCTCACCTGTCTTTGAAGGTCTTGGTGAGCTGCGTGTGGCTCCACTTGACGAGCGTGTGCTCGGCGCTGGTGCCGGTGTTGGCAGCCCACTTGCGTTTGTGCCAAATTGTCACTGAGGAGTCACCGAGGGCGTTGTCCAGCCGGCCACAGTTCTCCGCCTGCAGGCTAGGGCTGGCGAGCAGGGTCAGGTTGCCGAGGCTGTCTTTTTTGAGGTACACCGACACAATGCCTGGATAAAAAAGGGGGAGAAAAGCAAACAAGAATGAGGTTAACCCATGGGTTGGCCACCATCTGCACCAGCCCAAGGTGGTCCAGCTTTCCTGAGAGAGCTGGTGCTGAGCAGGACCGCTGCCTCCTCGTATTTTTGTGGCCTCTCACACTGATGCCACTCCGATCTGAGGTCCGGTAAACACCATTTGTCTGAAGCCCTGGAAAACAGCCACAGACTTTTTCAATGTTCCCTCCTCTCAAGATTTGGCTTGGAACCTGCCTGCTCCGAACATCGTGTTCCTTCATCCTCCATCCCTCCAGGCTCTGCTATGCTGCAAGTGACCCAGCAAAGACCCTCGCCTTGGACCCGAAGCTCCTGGCTTATTTATGACAAGGGATATGTCTCACTTTTTTGAGACAGGTTGGAAATGCTTTTCACTGGCAGGAAGCGAAAGGAAGGTTGGGGACCAGGAATTTTCCAAAGGCAACCAGCATGCCAACTGTTTCCTTTAATTGGAGAGCCCCCCAGGAGCAAGGGCAGAGGCATGTGCATGGGCTGGCAGCGCTGCCTGCCTACGTGATGCCCGTATATTGTCATGGTCATGTCCTTCCTCAAGTGCCAAGGACCAGCACCCGAACGGCTGACGGGGGACGGACCGGACCCTCACATGTCCGGTGTTCACGCACAAGGGGGAACATGACCATGACCAGGGATTATTAGTTTCCACCCTGGGTGTTAAAAACATCATTGTGTATTTTAGCACTGCAATTTTCCTTGACTCTAACAGGAATTGCAGGGCTCGAATGCCGCTCAGACCATCACATATTTAGCCCAATCTCAGCCCATCCCTGGCATGGGGACGGCTGCCTCCGCGTCTCAAATGACACGGCTCGTGTACCAGACAGCTCTGACCTTTCTGGGAAAGGCTGATAACTGCAGCCCCGTTCCTGCAGCTCTCTCAGGGCCGTCTGAGCCTCTCAGAGCAGCGGAGGCATTTTTAGAGCATCGCCCTTTGGGGCTCGCAGGGGATGCCAGCTGCATGAGTCGTGCCCGGCTGCTTTCAAGTCGGTCTGCAGTAAGACAGATCCAAAAGAGGACGGTCAAGGCTGTTGGACCAGCAAAACTCAACACTGGAAAGAGCCCCAACACGTGGAGCTGGGTTTTATCCAACTGTCCCCAGGGTATCCTCGCTTGGTCTGTTGGGCACCACGGGGAGATGCGTTTCGGCAGCTTAACAAACAAGGCAGCTCCCTTCTCCCAGGCAAATTCGCCAAAGCAAATAAATACGCAGAATCCCTTCTCTCCATTTAAAGCGAGATTATAGTAAGTAAACAGAGCCAGAAGGATTTGCCTGCTCTGTGTGCATGCACAGCCCTGCCTGCTGAGTTTTGCTGACTGAGGGAGGTTTTCACTGCCCAAACTGCAGGAACCCTCTGGGTCTGGAGCCACCTTCGTTAGACTCAGGGTGCTCATCCCTCCCATAACCCTGCAGCTCCACCTGCATTCGGATGTACTTCCCCTCCATCCGTGGTACAGCCCCTCTGCTCAGGCACCACAACCATTTCTGGTCCCTTTTGCTGTAAAATCAGCATTAATCCAAACAGTGCACCATGGCAGGCTCGGTTAAATCAGCTAATTTTGCACTGAAATGGGGGAGGAATTTACACTGGCTGCTATGCCATGGGAGCTTGGGGAGGGGGGGAACCTTAATTAGGGGTAAGTAATATTTTTAGCTATCTCAATCCTTTGCTCATGCTGAGGGTGAGCACAGGGAGCTCTGTCCTTCCTTCGGCTCCGAAGTTACACACCTAATCTTTTGCTGAGGCCCATTTGTAAAGAAATCTGTGTTACAGATACCTGAAAGCACATGAAATCCCTATCGGTTCCGATACCTGCTTTGAATTTTCAGGGGAGGTGGGCAGGAAAAAAAAAGCCAGCGTATCTTTTGCCTAATTCAAAGCCTTTTGATTTTTAAAAAGTCACTGCGAGGCGAATGGGGTCCTCGATTCCAAATCTAGCTCTCCGCCTCGGTTACAGCTCTATAGCAGCCTGTAACCTTAAAAACTGTCCCAGTTACATATCTGCAAGCCAATGGAGCTGTGCTGATTTACATAGCGCTAACAATCTGGCCCTAAAAGTGTTATATATAGCATGAAACTAAGAGTTCTTAAGTATCTTACATTAATATGAAAATTAACGGGGAGATTTTCAAAGGCAAGAGCAAGTGGTTAGATTGCAAGGGAACGTGATCCTCTCGCTCCTTCCAGCTGAAAACGCCTGTCTCCAAAAACCTACAGCTCAGCCTGAAAAAGACTTTTGTTTCCTGGTGCGCTTCCGTACGGGTTTCGCATACGTCCTGCGAGTGACCTACATCTGCAAAACAAATCTCTAATGCGTGGCTACCGACTTTCTCTTTTATTGCCACAAGAAAACATCTATCTGAGAGCAAAGATGTATTTAGGCACTTGTCTTTGCTGGCCTTTTAGTGTCACCAAACCCACAATGCCCCTCCTGTCCAGCACCAGGGTATTTACGGGTGCTGTCACCACGCTAGTGGCATCCCAGTGATCCCCAGGAGCTCTACCCTCATGGATTTATTTTTAAATTTACAAGTGCATTTATTTGCTGCCGCGTGCACTAAGAATCTGAGCAGAACTGGGCTTGAAAACAAGTCTCGCATTCCCTTGCAAGGGACAGGCAGAGGTTTGCAAGGGGCTGGGGAAGGGGGAAAAGCTGGTCCCAAGGTCACCAACCTGCCTGAAATGGTTGAAGTGAGGAGCGGACGTTTTCTAAGCAGCCGACTCGGTGTTAGATTTGAATGATGACATTTGATCAGCATCGCACATAATGTCACCATTACATAAGAGTCCCCGAGCCGTCCCCCCGCAGCCTAAGAATAGAGATGAGGAACGTGGACACATGTCGACGGGTGATGAAGACCTCAGGATTATTCCCCCTGATGCTCAAAGCCTCCCCTCCTCCCTGCCATCACCCTCATGGGAAAAATATGTTCAATTTCTTTAATTTTCCTGGTATTGAGGGCTGGGACAGTTACAATCAGAAAAAAAAAAATGTACACGCCCAATGCCAAATTGGAGAAGAATTGCTATTTAATTACCCCTCGTTGCAAAACTCACTGGGACTTGCAAGAGAAGACAAAAAGGAGACAAAAAAGTATTAATAACCTGCCCATCCCTGAACTGATAAGCTGGGACTGTTTAACATCTTTATTAGAGAGACAGAGCAAGGCTCAACTCTCCAGCACCAAACCCTGGCCCCGGCTAAAGAAAATTAGAGGAAGACTTGTTTTCTCTCTTAAGCATCTTTTTAATATTGTACCATAAATCTGCAAAGGCCCCTGACTTTCTGGGAGAGATTGGATTGGAAGCGCATCCAAACCGTGGCTGACACTTAGATCTCTTTTCTTTGACGCTGAAGGACCAAAAGATATTTTAAGTTTTTACATGACAACTGAGCTTCTCGCCTCTTGCAAAAAAATCCAGGGTCGGGAGCTTTATGAGCAGCACAAGTCTGGCAGTAAAAGCAGAAATAGCAAAGGAATAAGAAAGCGGGGGAGGGAGGATGTCTTAAAAAAAGTACCAAGACCCCCACAGACGGCGAGGGCTGCTCTTCAGTACCTAAAATGAGAAATTCAGCTGGGAAAGTGGTTCAGGGCAAGAAGAGTTCGAGAAGGAGGGGACTGGGCAGTGATGGGGTCCAGGCGGGAGGCTCTTCCCTGTCCCGGGAAGGTCTCGCCTGGGGCAGAACAGCTGCCTGGATGTGATTTTTAAGAAGTTCACTGATCTGTGCTTCTGGTTGCGCTGAGTTTTTAGGCTCAGTATTTCAGGCTGACCTCAGGATCTCTCCTCCAGCTTGCGCTGGTGCCAACCCCAACCCTTTCCTTGCCCTCAACAGCTTCTCCACCTCTGACACAAACCTTCACCTTCTCTAAAACCAAGGCTTGGAGCAAGGAGACGATGGACGTGGGGAAAAGGCACCCTGGTACAGAAAACTATTCTCATCGGGTCATTCAAAGCTCTACTAAACAGAGCACATAACGTGTCAGATCTTGGGAGTGCTGTTTTGGACAAGGCTCTCCTAGTCCTGCTTTCCTCCTGCATCATTTACGTGCCATCAGACCAAACTATCTGGGGCCATGACCTGCAAAATCCTCCAAGCAAGCACTGTTGGTAAATCCCATCTTACTCCTGCCCCTTCTTCTGTGGTTCTCCTGTGTCTACCCTCTGTGCCCAGGCTCCTGGCTCCTTGGGAGGGGATAGTGTTCATGCTCTTAGCCTCCAGTTCAGACCAGTTTCAGCCCTATTCCACATGCCAAGGCGCCCATGGCAGCAAGGGGATGGGCCGAGGGGAGCACCTCCTGGTGCCATCAGCCAGCGCCCAAGCCTTATGACACATCAGAGACCCTCTCAGTTTCACAGACCTCCTCCGGGCATGCGCTCACCCAGGACACATCCTTGTTCAGCAAAACCTGCACAAGCCACGGGTCTCCACAGCCCAGACCCAGCTCGACCAAGCTGGAACATCCCGTGCTGCCACTCGCCCCTTATCCCAATGTCAGGACTAATCCTGGCGACAACAGTGACCCGCAGCTCCTTCCCCACCATCTCCCCCTACCTTTGTACTGGGGCGTGAACTGCCTCATGGCCAAGGGTAGCGACTCGTAGAAGCTCAGCTCCTGCGAGACCAAGGGCTTGCAGACTGTGTGCTCGTCGTACTTCATCATGCTCATGTGGCCGCCCACCTGATGGACAAAGGGCTCCAGGAGGACGGCGGTCCTGCTCTCGCTGGGGTCCAGGGGGCTCTGACCCACCATGGTGCTGGGCGAAAGGTGGAGGGGGGGCTCGCTCCTCTTTAGCGGCAGCGCAGGGGGATCGCGAGAGGGATTTGGGACACGCTGCGCTGGGTCTGTTGGAACCCACGCTAGGTTTCCACCGACGGTGTCTGCAAAATAGAAAGTGGAGGAGAGCATGAGAAAGGGGGACGAGCCACCACAGGGTGCAGCCTGTGCTGGGCACCGAGGGCACAGCCGGGAGGGATGAGATCTTCAGGTGCCCAGGGGCTGGCAGGGAGCTCCAGCCTGAAATGCAGAGTCCAAAAAAGATCCAGTTTAGATCTGCTGGGGACAAAAGAAACAGAAGGGAACGATCGAGAAGAGCTATCGAGTTAATGCGGTGTCCTTGTCAAAGCAACTGGATCAGGGCATTCCTTGGACCGGTAATGCCAGGTTATTAATACACTGTATTAATGACACCCCCTGCTGCGAAACAGCCCCAGTTTACTTTACGAGACAGTGCTAATGATGCTCTTAGTCCTTCCCAAGCTAGGACTTTCCTTGCAAAGGAGATTTATTGACAAAGCCTCTGCAAGCTCACGCCCCTAGGCAGTCACTTGCTTCTTAACACTGCTGAAGGGGTTAGCAACATTTTCTGAGCCTTCTGAAGAAACCTCCCTTTGGGGCATTCCCTGGGCATTAGCAGGAGCGTTTCCTCCACCGTGCTAACACGTGGCACGAGGACGTGTCAAACCAGCACCCAGAGAGTTCGCACCCAAGCGCCGGCTCCCCTGAGCTCTCCAGCCCTGCCCTCTGCTACAGCCACATCCAGCAACAAATCTGCCCCTGATTCTTGCCCCTGAGAGAAATTCCCCCTTGATTTTGACAGCAACGAGTCCTGGCTCTAAACCACTAAGGTAGGAAAAGTGTGGGTAGGGACCACTTCTGGGCCATATGGCCTCAGCAGCAGCACCCTGGCTTCGCTTGCAAGTACCCATCAACACCCACGCCTTCGTTTTATGGAGCCCATGGACGGCTCTTGCTCTGGTGGATATCGGGCAGGGGAATCCCATAGCCACTGAGGAAAGCAAAAAGGCACCTGAGCTGAAATTTATGCTGGGGAAGCAGTCTGGCTTCATACCATCGAGGCAGTAAAATCAAAGGAAGACACTCCAGAGCCCAAACTAAAACGTGTGGGGAAAAAATGAAATAAAGTCATCCTTCTGAGGACCAGGCTGCTCCCAAGTCTCTGCAAGCAGGGCAAGGCTCAGATTTTCCTCCAGAGCTTGAACCTGGAAGCTTAAACCACTGTAATGCAGCGTATTCCCCATCCTGCAACAAAGAACCAACGCTCCACTGCTTAAATTTCTCCTTCACACTCCTGCTGCTGCAATGAAACCACGGAGCAAACTAGTGCTCGGCGCAGGTGCCTGCTTTGTTTTTTGCCTGCAAGAGTGGGATGAAGTGGGCTGAAGGCAGAGAAGGGGAAGAAGAAACACTCCTACCTCCGAAACACACCGAGCAGCTCCTTTACCTTCCCCAAGGTGGGTGGTTTCCCCCCCCACTCCTCTATTCTTTCATCACCACACACTTTGGAGAGGACTTTCTACTCTACAATTACCAGCCTCTACCGGCACGGAGGGAACAAAGTCAGACCACTTAGATGAGTGCTTTTCAGCCGGGGAAGAAAGCAGCTCTTCAGAGCTTTTCTAGAAGTTAATAAAAGCATTTAGCATTTCACTAAGTTGCGGCAACTTTTTAAAGCGGATTTCTCCCTTGAAAGCTGTGGGCTTGTTGTGTTTGTTTCTTTTTTTTTTCCCCTCCCTTCCTTAAAAAAAAAAAAAACAACAAATAAAAGGAGAAAAGCAGAAAACAAACAAATTTCTCGTAAAGCCTCTTTGGAGCAGAGAACACAATATGATCTCAGTCCAGTACTTCGCGCTTCAGAGACAGTCCAAGGCTGAAACTTGGCTGATGTAAGACACTTAAAATTCTGGCAACCTTGGCATTACAAAGAGAGTTAAGGGGAAAAGAAACCCAACAGAGTTTGATAAGGTTCTTAGTGTCTTAAGCAAAACTCAGAGCAAGATTTGCAGGAAGAGAAAGAGGCTCTTTTCATTTAGATTTTGCTCTGAAGCTGCTCGTCCATTCGGAGCAGATAAATGTTACCGCAAACACTTACTGAGCTGCTCCGAGCTCCTCTGAAACAAGACACTCTTGAAATAAATCACTTCTGCCGGCTCAGGTTATCGTGAACGCCAAAAGATATTTACGTCACTAAAAATACACGGAATTGCAGATAAATCCGTATCCTCAAAACCCAGAAATCTTAAATATTTTTCCCCTACCTAAAGAAAAAAAAAAACAACCCAGAACAACAAAAAAACAATGCAGGCACTGCAGGTGAAGATGAGTCGGAAAATCTTGGGGAAGGACAACAGAGAGAACTCTCCTCTCCAGAAAATAGAGACCAAGATATTTTAAAACATCTGCATCTCCCTGGTGGCTGTCAGAGCACACCACCTTGCCTCCCGGCGCATCGCAGAGCATCGCTGGATGGAGATAGATGTGCTTCTTCTAACGATCACGGGTGTAACGAGGTCGTGCCAGGCTGGGGGGCACCGATGGCCGGGGACCGTCACCCCACGCCCTGCTCTCATCTCGGACCAAATGTCAAAGGAGTCTGAAGTAAACAGGTTATTTATTCCCAAGTCTAAACGCGGCCATAAGAAAGCAAGCAGATTAAATTCACTAATCTTTAATTAGTGCTTTACTCCATCGTTGTGGCTCTGTGTTTGATGTGGGGGCAAAGCCCAGCCCAGCCCTAGGAGACAGCCTGCGCCTCGTAAAGAGCTGGGGTCCTCTGAGCAGTGATAATTTGGAACGTTAAAAAGCCAAATCGCTTTAAAAGCAAGTACTCTGTCAGCACAGGGTCTTGTTCTAAGGCTTACGTATCGCGGTCAGCACCTTCCCCTCTGGGGAACCCGGCTCTTCGGAGCATCCCAAAGCACCCTGCTGCAAAGTCAGGTTTCAAGCGCTGCAGGGGGCTGCCAATTTTTATTTTTTTTTTCCACTTTGTTGAAAGGCTGTTGGTGTGAAGGGATCTGTATGTACGTAGCTCTTGGTACTGGAGCTGACCTGGAATCAAAGCCAGCTCCTGCACCACGAGCCCAGCCCACGAGCAAGGCGTAGGCAAAGCCCAGTTGCCCCATTTCCCTTCAGTCTTTGGCCTCGTGCCTCCAAACTCCGCAACGCCTTGGCCCGGAGGAAAACCCCACGGTTTCCACGGGAAAACCCCAAGGGTTTCAGCTCAGCATCCATCCCAGCAGGGCTGGAAGCAGGCACAGGCTGTTCACATGGGCAGGCAAGCGGCTGCAAACCTCCACGACCCTTCAGATCTGCCTTTCCTGCTCTTCCCTTGACTACAGCCAAAGTCAGAAATAGTTGCGGGGCAGCACCATGCTGGGAGCAAAAAGCTCAGCTCTCAGCACGAAACCTGGCTCCAACCACCCTGCCACAAATCCTTACGTGCACAAACCCTCAGCTCTTTCATCTTGCATCTCCTTCCCCGAAAGAAAACGATGCACATAAAATTGATGGCTGGTCCCCGCGTCCCTCACTAAAAAGATGCCAAGATTCCTGCACTGAAAGATTTATCCAGTCGCTTTGTGGGAAGCAGCGAGAAAAAAAATCGCAGTCGCCTTGCCTGGGGTGGGCGGGGTGCTGAGAGCTCCTTGGGGCTGGCCTGGGAGACGGGAGCTGGGGTGGGGTGGCCATGGGGCTGGCAAGGGTTGGGCTTCCCAACGGGACACGGGAATGTGCCTTGGGACCGCGGCGGCAAGCTCGGAGCTGCCAGCAGCACCGTGAGACGGGGGGCCAGGGTGCCACTGCATCCCACGGGTTCCTTCACCCCCCTACCCAATTTCTGCATTTCGTGCCTCAAACACCATCCACCCTTTTTCTGACCAGCCCCACGCTTTCCGACACCGCAACAGAGAAGCAAAAGCTCCCCAGGCTGCTCCAGAGGTTTGCAGCAGCCCCCTGGGTACCAGCCGTCCCCCTTGCTCCCTTCCCACAAGCCAGGGCTGCACTCGGAGCCTTCCTAATAATCTCTTGCCCATTCTCAAAAATCAAGTGTTTGTTCATCCTGCCCATATTCATCCCGCCCAGTGCTGATGCCGAAGCCCCCCTGGACCTCACCTGCTGGTCCGGCGGCGAGCGTGGGTTCAAGGCGCTGCCT